TTAATGAGTTTTTGCAATTTAGCTTTTTTATCAATAATAGTAGGGATAACAAGACCTGACATATTTAAAAATTTAATCTACTTATTAGTACGTTTGGTGATTATATGAGTCTTATAGACCTAACAGATTTTATTAATTATATACTAATAAATATCGCAATTCATTTTTGTGTCATCGGGAAATACATATGTTGGACTCTTTGTAATATATATAAAAATGGCTGAAATCATTATCATTCAAGTTTACTCTGCAGATATGCAATCAGGCCTGTGCACTCAATCAAGTTTATTACTACATTAAGAAGAATGTTAATCATAGCTAAATTATGATTTAATATTTATTGTTTCTTGTATTTCGCTGACAAGCCTCGCTTTGTAGGTTCTAGATCTTTAAGCAGTTTGAGACAAATATAGTATTATAAATACTAGATATCTCTAGATACAAACTTGAAAATTTAACACTCACCAAGGTTAGCTCGTCTCAAGTTTTTTAATTTTGGTAGAGATTTAGAACCAGACTTGGAAGAATATCTATTTTTTTGCAGTAACCTTACCTTCTTTTTATCACTATTTATGTTTATACCCATTTCGTTATCTGAATCTGAATCGCAAAATAGGGAGCCAAATTTTCTATTTTGTTTAATCATAGTGCCATGTATAAAAATACGACACTATGATGTATGCTTGCGAGAACCGGAAGATTCCTGTGAACTAAAATGTTCGATCTAAAAGCAATAGCTTGCCCCTGTTTTGCATGTATTATTGGTTTTAACTCAGGAAATACTAATTGTCCATCTTCAAATGTTTCAAGTAGGTACACAACACAGAGTAAATTGCGGTGGTCTTTTAGATTCCTTATGGATCGAAGCTTTTGGGTGCTTGATTAATGAACATAATTTTTTGTATTCTTTCCGGAATGACAATTTCTGGCTTTTTATCGTACCATACTTCAAGGAGAAAACTTCCGTTATCTTGACATATGCATCTTTTTAGCCGATCACGATTTACAACATCCTCAAGTTTTTTGACATCTTTATACCAGCTAGGCTATAAAACCGATGCTGATTCCCTTGTACTTCTAATGCAATTCGGTATTTTTGGAAGAAGGCATCAAGTTTCAACCCATTCAAGTAGAGAAGACGATACTCGATTATCAGCTTTTCCCCAAGTAATACTTGAGCTATTAGGATACATTTTTCCTGAAATTTATGATTTTTCTTAGACTCTAGTTCTTTTTTAAATTCATCTAAATCCTGTTTTAACTTTATATTCTCGGTTTCAACTTCTTCTTTGTCATGCTTTAACTTCGTATTTTCAGTTTTGATTTTGATATTCTCATTTTTTAATTCATTTATTTTCTTTTCTAATTTAGGTACTAAATTGTAGAATATATCGCAATAACTCGCTCTATCAATAAAAAGAAAGCAAA